TAAGATTATGAACTTAAGAACTGTTGTTCTGTAACAGCTCCTGTCCTAAATTCAGTCCTAACTGAAGTTGTCATGGTGACTAAGCAGATAAGATTTCAGACTTAAGAAGTTTCTGTAATAAGCCCCAGAAGTCCAGAGAGTTCAATGTCTCTAAAATCTCCTTCACAGAAAATTACTCCATTAAACGGTTACAAATACGCTGCCCCATCTCTGAAACACTGTTTTCTGACAGTTTTGAGATGCAGTTTTGGTCTAAAATGTCTTTTTTTAAAATCCACAAATGGTGGAGGCAAAACATTCCCTGCAAAAAGCACTTCTTCAGAATAACCACTACTTTACCATCATGAAAATTCCATATAATATTCAGCAACGTAAACAAAATTCCTGTATGTGTTGTAGACATTATCCCTGGTTTTTATCACCACCAATTTTTATGATTTCTGAATTGTACTTGAGAGATTGGACAGTAACGTTACAAATCAGTATGATTTTAGCCACAGAGAACACAGGTAAACACTTCTTCACTTCTCTGTAATCAAGAAACTCCACGGGATATAACAGCATTTTTACTGACACGTTGATTCATATGGGATTCATTTTATGAAAGCTAAAAGATGCTGGAATCTTTATTGAAGCAGTCGGAAAAAATGACTGACGGCGCATTCGGCCGGGATTAAGTCACTGAGAAACACCAGTCAAATTTACATCACCCCACCCACATTCTAAACTAACCCCATCCGAATAGGCCTTCAGTCACTCTTGCGCTGTGTATGTAATGTAATTTGATCCATTCTGTCATCACAGCCCTCAATCTGTTCATCAAGGGCACTCATACTGCAATAATAATAACAGTATAATTAATTGTGCAGCTTTATCAGACACCTTAAACTTGTGTCTCTGAGTTCTGTGTTAAACTTCAAAAAACATTTCATTAGCACGTCGTGAATGTGGCAGATAAAGAAGGTTGTTGCCCAGGTGACCTCACCTCTCCAACACTTAATCACTGTGCTGATGAGCTGATCCATCTTCAGAGTGACCTCCTATAATCTCTATGACACAATTAGCTCAGCTCTAATGCGATTTGGTATCATCCATGTTCAAAACAAAATATTAGAGTATTTTTTCTGGCCAAGTCATTTAGAGGGAAGTCTGCATTTACAAATTCACCTCGCAAAATAGATCAGCGAAAATCTGTGACGATGTTTCAGGTGTTTTGTGTCAATGTTCAAATTAAAATTTTGATAGTCGACAAATGTGTGTTCATCTGGACCAGGGATCACGAACTCATTTATGTGTATTATGTCCGATGTTTTACCATCTTGGCTGTAAATATGTTTCAGTTTGTATTAATGTCTTAGTTTAGCATAAAAAATATAATACAAACAAAAACGCAGACTTACTTTGCTCTGCGTTAAGCTTTAGCTCAGCTATAGCCGCTTTTCTCACATCTCCAGCAGGAAACTTTTCCACAAAAGTAGAACAGTTTCTTGTAAAATGTCTCTCAACATTCAACTTTTTACGAGGGTGAAGTCGCTTCTCATTCACCAGCTTAAACGGTGCCCAAGGTGCCAGAATGTAACTACTGCACCATTTAAGGTGGAACAGGAAAGTTCAAACAAGAAGCTGGTGAGCGAGAAACTGACTACAACTTTACGACTTTTTAGTGTTTGACAGCTTCTCTTTGCAGATTAAACGTATCAGGAAACCAGCTGGAGTGATTATAAATGCAAACAAGTCCATTCGTCTCCAAATTATTATTATTGTTCATCTTAAATCTTTCTCTTTGTCGTTTTGTTAGCTACTAGCTAGGTGAGATTGTCTGTGTTGCTATGGTGACCAGCAGTCTGCGCTGATCTTCAGGGTTAAAGGGTGAATTAGCAGTTCTACATTAACTCCAGAGTTTAAGACCATTTATTGTTAAACTGTGTTGAACGATCAGCAGAGCTTTATTTTACTGTAAAGGAGGATTATTTTATTTTTACCTACTTATTTAATTCTGCTGTGGAGCCACAACAGGGCAGTAAGCCTCATGTTGCTGACCCCTGGTCTGGACAATGACAAAACATCCTACCTACCCTGTGATTTACCATGAATTGAGGACAATGGCCATTACTTCAATACCTCCAAAACAAAGGAATTAAACACAGACTTTAGGAAATTACAGAATCAAAGTTCCTGTGGGAAACAGCCAGTAACCAGCCAATATCCATTACTGACTCATTTCCAAACTTCTTGGAACATTTTCAGTAGTTCATTAAAAAGGGATTTGAACACCAAACACATCACTGAGAAGGACCAGCAGAGACTCTCCTCAGATGACTGAAAGGCCCAGAGAGGTACTGAATTAGCAGCAACAGCCAACAGTTTTATTCCGTAATCTCCCAAAGCATTTGGAAATCATCCATTACTGTCCCATACGTCTCTTGATAAGAAATACACATTGTGAACAAGATATCAAACTGTTGAATGTGTCCATCTAAAGGTGGGTACTAAGTCGTTACACTGACTCAGTTCCATGTACTTATGGAGTCTTTAAGCAACATTCTGATGAGTCCTTTTCAGGGTGTTTTCAATTTATAAGACATTTCTGTTGTGGTGGTTTAGCATCTGTTCTGCTTTACTGTTGCTCACTCCTCTCACTTTGGAGCTTCAGCGCTTTATTTCGGAGCAACAGGATCCAAAAAGATTAGAATAGAGCCAAACAAACTTAAGTTCTGCAGGAGTTTCTGGATCTGATAAGTTGTTACTCTATTTCAGTCTAAGGCTTGGCAATATGACAACATTTATCACTACTGTGATCATTTATGTCGCAATATACTTCTCTCAGCAAATCGTGGATATTTTCAGTACTTCAAACACTTCCCAACTGCATGTTTGATTCCAAAGACTGCTGAACTGAACTTAGTGCAGGACTGTATGAGAAACACTGAATAAAAAACATTGCATTCAGGTTTTGACAGTAGTTTGTAAAATGTGGCGCTACTTTGCCCAAAAAATATTGTACATATACATATGATGTATGACATATACGTACGATATACAAAGCACATATGGTAAAAAGTCTGGTAACACTTTATTTGGACGGTCCACTACAGATGCTTTGTAGACGCTTAGTATGTCTGTAACTAACATTCAATTAAATATCTAGTAAATGCAACTGAACTCGAAGTTGTGGGTGAAAGATTTTATTAAATCTATTCCTAACCCTAAACCTAACCCTAACCATAATGCTGTTGATAATCAACTGAACATCCCCAGAAAGTTTGTTAATAATGTAGGTATCTGTTTACCATCTATAGCGGACCATCCAAATAAAGTGTGACCAAAAGTTCCTACAATATTGGGATATTACATTTTTGCCATATCGCCAAGCCCTACAGCCCTAGTTGAATCAACATCTTTGCTTGAGTACGGTTTTGGGCTACTCTACCAAACTCTAGTGACTTTCCATCAATGGCTGTGTTTACATGCAAAGATTTTTGCTAATCTGATTGAATACATTCCGATTATAGATTAAGACTGAGGTGTTTATTCTCACTCTGCTCAACACTCTGATGGACATCTCCGTTTACATCCTCACTACAAGTAATCTGATCCAAAATTACATGAATGCGTAGAGAACCGCTTAGCATAGACGCTACCATGACAACCAGCATCACGTGAGTCCAGTCAGAGTGAGATGAGCAGCAGTGAGCAGTGCTTGTGTTTTTAATTACTTTAAAATGATGTCAGACTCAGGAAAACGTCCTTCACATGTCCTTATTAAAGAAGGCCGAGAGGAAGACGTCGTGTTCTGAGACACATAAGCTGGACGTCCGTCCCACCGCCGTCTTTTAAAGATCAGAGCATAAACTTCGTCTCCTCTGCAGACCAGTTTCTGCTCCGCCATGTTGTAAACTTTCACTATGACGCGACACAAATGACCAGAACATACTTTAACGGATTATTTACAGGATTACCCACCTCGTTCAATCAGATAGCAATTGTATTCAGACTAGACTATTCTGATCGAGGTGTTTACACAGACGTATTCATTCCGACTGAGCTATTAGTCTGATTATTAACGGATTATTAGACTGAATGTAAACACGGCTAATGAAACTCCTTTACGTTTACTACTATAAAAGGTCTGCAAAAAACACTTGCGACCCCTCAACACATACGTACAAATTTTTGAGTTCAGTTGTACGTTTTTTAAAAACATTTTCGCTTGTTACAAATTTTTTATCAATGGTCATCCTGCATCATAATTTCCACAGTTTCGATTTTACAATACAAATAACTAACCAGAATAGATCATGTTTACTCTGTCAACTTTTCATAAAAAATCCTATAAAATGTAGGTTTCATATTTAGTTTATATGTTTAACTTTGTCCCACGGTTCGAGTACGATAACCGTCTAAAAGAAAGTGCTCAGAAGTTTCTTCCTCTCTCCTTCACCTTTCTAACACACCATCATCCGATACGAAAAAAAAGGAAAGAAAATCTCAACTGAATATACAATGATACAATGTCAACAGTGTCCATACTGATTCATAATCTTCTATATCATTTTTAGGTTTTGTTCTATGATTGCCAGATTACCAATATTTAACCAAAGTATTTTTTCTTTGTTTTAAATGAACTAAAAAGCCCTTTAAGCTATTATATTTACAGTTAACTCGCTAGAGATTTCGGTATTGTTTCAAGCTCAATTAAACTTTTATTAGATCGCTGCTTTGCACGAGGTCATGCAACTTTGGAATCTTTTTGCTTTTAAATAAAAATTGCATTGATTTTAGCCGATCGAATCTGTGTAGTATGTAATAAGAGCTCAGTAGAATTGAGACACTTATAAAATATGGAATCGACTCTTGAACTCAACATCAAAAATCATACCAAACCTGAATGTGCATCTATAAAGTATGTTTCTCTACCACTCTGCGATCTTTAAAGTTGCATTCTTGAACACAGTATTAAAGAAGTGTGTATGCAGCTCATGTAGTGATGCTGAACTCACCCTGTGCTGCTCGATGGAGTCGATCCACTGGTTACGGTGTTCAGGGTCCATAGCCCTCAGGTACCACACGCTGTCGTTAACACTGATATCCAGCCTGCACTCATCAAACTCGTGGGGCTAGAGAGAGAGAGAGAGAGAGAGAGAGAGAGAGAGAGAGAGAGAGAAATGTAATTTAAGACCCATAATGCAGGATAAGGTAGGCCAAAAACAACAAAACTCAAGAATCAGGGAGAAAAAGATAATTCATACGCAAAACCTTCCATGCTATGCATAAGTTAGCTTAAATGTACTTACATGAAGGTAAATACAGCGATCAGGCATAACATTATGACCACCTCCTTGTTTCTACACTCATTGTCCATTTTATCAGCTCCACTTACTATATAGGTGCACTTTGTAGCTCTACAGTTACAGACTGTAGTCCATCTGTTTCTCTGCATACTTTGTTAGCCCCCTTTTACCCTGTTCTTAAGTGGTCAGGACCCCCATGGACCCTCACAGAGCAGGTACTATTTGGGTGGTGGGTCATTCTCAGCACTTCAGTGACACTGACGTGGTGGTGGTGTGTTAGTATGTGTTGCGCTGGTCTGAGCGGATCAGACACAGCAGTGCTGCTGGAGTTTTTAAACACCTCAGTGTCACTGCTGGACTGAGAATAGTCCACCAACCAAAAATATCCAGCCAACAGCGTCCTGTGGACACAGTGTTTAAAAACTCCAAACAAATTCGAACGAGAAGTTGGTGAATATCTGACTTCAGCTTCGTATCACCAAAGAATTAGATGTAGGTGATAATAAATAACTGCCCCCCTCTTTGAAGTCATATGATGCCCTAAATGTAACTAAAGCCCAGCAGTGAGGAGCTGAACTTTACCCTCCTCTGCTGTCACTGCAGACTGGCAGGGTCGCCTACAGAGCAGCGCTAGTAGCTGTTAATGAAGTGATGCTCTTTTTTATTTGAGGGTCCCATTTCATAGGGAAGATTTCAACCACTACCCCTTGTAACTCAGTTCCAAGGGGTTAGGGTGACACTCAAAAACAAGGGGTAGGGGTAAAAATAAGAAATGGGACTGGACCCAAGACATGGAAAAAGCAACAGGGAGAGACAAAGAGAAGAGCAGAAATGATGGAGAGAGCAAGAAAAGGAGAAGAGAGAGGGAGATGGAACGGGACAAAAGCAGCACAGAAAGGTTTGTGTATGTGCTGGTTTGGGTGCACAAACAATATTACTGCCAGATGGTCACACTGTCAGACTCAACAAAACACAGGATTAATGAAATCCAAATGAAAATTCAAACTCTTTTTCACTCACTGTGTGTGTCTGTTTTCCATTCTAACAGCCGTCTGCACTTTCTAACTCATTTCTGTGTCATTCTCCTTCATATATTTGGCATCAAGCTCTCTTTCTCTCTCTCTGTAAAACCCACAGAGCCTTTTTCAGTCAGTGTTAAACCTATCGGGTCAGAGTGCAATTCACACGCTGCAAATAAAAACCCTTGAACTGAGTCAGTGCACATATTTACACAGATCACAGCGACCGCAACATCGTAAGAACAAGCTCAGGGCGTTTTCATACTAGTCCAAACACTGGATTCTGAGCTCGTTTAGGGGAGGGGCTCGTTATCTCTGCTTTAGAGTGGATCAATTGTGCAATTCCATACGTCACTTTTCTGCGTGCAGGTTTGTAAAGTGGTCACACTAGTTTCACCCATTTGTTACCTTTCATCATATTCCTTGTATACAAACACTCAAGCGGCAAAGAACAGAGGTTTTTGTCCACAACAATCCTTTCCCCACCATCGCAAAACGTTAACTAGGAATTAATGCGGTAAGTTGAAGCATCACGTTACAAAATGAACCAATCATGTAACCCCACAGGCAGCGTGAGGAGCGGATGGCTTCCATACGAGTAGCAGACTGCACAGGAGTTTGCTGAGCACCAATTTCAGGAAGACCAGAGACCGGTTCTCTGGACCACTCCTGGTTTTGAAAACAGCTTTCACACCTAACCAGAAGTACCAAACTCATGGTCCTGGATCTGGAACAAAGCTCTAGTGTGGAAAAAAAAAACCCTTCTACGGAGACTCAAGCCTATTAGGATGTGGGGTTATACAGGGTGATTCAAAATGATTTGTCCGATTTTAAAACGTCATATTTTTACAACCGTGAGGCGCCTAGGAACCAATCACAATCCAATTGAAAGAGGGGGTCATAGAGTTTCAGACTGTGGCTCCCTTCAGCCTGAGAGGAGATGAGACCCCTGAGCAGAAAGCGTTCTGCGTTCTCCACTTCAATAAGAGTGAATCCGTCATAACTGTGCAGCTTGATTTTAATGGTCAGTGAACCTCCAACAGCTCAGAGCGTTCGTCGTTGGTTCCACAACACTGGACGATCTCCGAAATCGCACTGAAAGAGCCGTGAGTGCAGCGACACCCGACATGCTCAATCGAGTATGGGATGAATTTGACTACGGTGTTGATGTTGTCCATACAGCTGGAGGAGGTTCATACTGAGACCTTAAATAAACTTTATGCTCATTTAAACCATTTACAGTTCACTGCCCTGATCTGTAATGATTTACAAGTGAAATAAATCACTGACTCACATTAAAAGTAAAGCATGTTTTTTTCCTTCTCCTGTAAAGTCCTCATTTTGGACATACAAGTTTTTTTTTCCCCGTCAGCAGCGATATGTACGTATGTACATATGTATGTATGTATATATGATATCAGAATCATATAGCTGATAAAAAAACATTACTGCTTTCAGACAGACGTTTAGACCTCTAGGGCGATATGTCAACTTGATATTTGATTACATGTTTATTGTACTACAGAAGAGCAAAATGTTTAGACACTGGGCTAATGCACTAAATATGAATATTTTATTCATTTTACTATATTTGTAACCCTACAGAGATAAATATCTGTAATGCCAAAGTCAGTCGGGCACAACTGTCTACATTTTATACTGTCTATGTTTATGTAACAGCATTAGCATGTATTTACATAAAAAAATTAAAGATATCTGCACCACCCAACAATTTCCATATTGGTACAGCCATAGTAACTACATACATACATACATACATACATACATACATATATCATCTAAACCGCTTATCCTCCTGGGTCGCGGTGGGGTGCTGGAGCCTATCCCAGCTGTCATTGGGCGGAAGGCAGGATACACCCTGGACGGGTCGCCAGTCCAACGCAGGGCAGACTCCATAGTAACTATATATCCCATATATGTGTATGTTTTAATATAGTTTTAACCTTATGTGAAATGTCCTTCACCCTGCGTTCAAATTTTATGATGAATGGACCAAAAGAAATGCTTCAAAAGAACAGGGGAAAAACTTCTCAAATTAACTTCCAAAGTTAAGAATTTTGTTTCTTCTGTAAAGTTATCATTTACGAGATGGTAACTTTACAGGTTCTGTCATGACAGTATAGATATGTATGTATCTATAGGGTGTATTATTATTATTATTATTATAAATATGTAAGTACCTACATGTAATAGTAATGTACTATGCGTCTTATACACATATAAGCTCCTATATGTATTAATACTGTCGCATGTAACACCGATGTGAGTATCTATATGTAGTAATAATTAAGTCTAACTTTAAGCCTAACCCTAATCTGAATAATCAATGTATAACAAAATGTAAAAATATAACGTGGAGTTTCTGTTCAGGAGAATATTCAGGAGTATTTAGCTGGTTCTGCAGGTTTGAACCGTTTTCCTCTGGCTTTACTACAAAGTCAGAATATTTATTTCCTGAAAATGTAAAAACACACACACAGACACACATCTGAGTGGACTGAAGGACACCTGGGGGTTTTGGAACAGAGAGAAGAGGACCGGGAGGTAAATCACACAGATTACAGAATGAAGAGGCGGAGCTACAGGGGCAGACGAGGACACAGCGGGGGGACGCTGCAGAGACCCACAGCAGACAAGATTGGATTTAATACTGAGAGAGAGAGAGAGAGAGAGAGAGAGAGAGAGAGAGAGAGAGAGAGAGAGTGTAAATCTCTTCAGAGTGTCCTGAACGTCGCACAAAGAGCTAAAAGATTTACAATATTCTCTTCTCTGTCCTTTTAACTCCAAATGTATCTGTTAATGTATCTCCAATAAAAACTCTGCCATACTGTGTGTTTGTGGGTGAACGAGACGAGTCACAAAGTGAGAGAGCAAAAGAGAGAGGCAACAGAACCCACCAGAAAGAAAGAAAGAAAGAAGGCAGGGAGGGAGGGAGGACAGCAGGGAGGAGAAAAGAAAAAGAAAGAAATATAATAACAATAATATAAGAATGACATCAAAAAAGAAAGAAAGAAAGAAAGAAAGACAAATAAAAGAAAGAAAGGAGGGAGGGAGGGAGGGAAATGAGAGAAAAAGAAAGAAATACAATATATAAGAATTTGATAAACAGAAAGAAAAAAAGAAAGAAAGAAAGAAAGGGAGAGAAAGAAAGAAAGAAAGAAAGAGAGGAGGGAGGGAGAGAGGGAGGGAAATGAGAGAAAAAGAAAAAAATATAAAAATATATATAAGAATTTGATAACAAAAAGAAAAAAGAAAGAAAGAAAGAAAGAAAGAGAGGAGGGAGGGAGAGAGGGAGGGAAATGAGAGAAAAAGAAAAAAATATAAAAATATATATAAGAATTTGATAACAAAAAGAAAAAAGAAAGAAAGAAAGAAAGAAAGAAAGGACGGAGGAACGGAGGGAGGGAGGGAAGAAAAAAGGATGGAGGGAGGGAGGGAAGGAAGGAAATGAGAAAAATATAAAATATAAAAAATATATAAGAATATGATAAAAGAAAGAAAGAAGAAAGAACAGAAAAAAAACAGAAAAGGCAGAGAGAGAGATACAGAGAATGGGAGAGAGACTAAAGGAAGAGGGAGAAAGAGAGAAATATAATATATAATATCAGCTCCTCCACCCTAATTCTGTCTGAGTCTAAAAGTCTGCACGCGAGTCAGCGAGTCTGATTCAGAACAGCGGCGCTGCCAAACCCTTCCTGCAGCCCAGCCGCTCTGTGTGAAGCTCTGATCTGTAACAGTGTAAACAGAAGGTGACTCATTTTTCCAGCTCACAAAACACTACAAACA